TATATATATATATATATGTATATATAAATATGTATATAATTAATCTTCATAATCTTCACATCTGTGTGTTGTATCTCTCACTTTCTTTTCTGTTTTATTTTTCTTTCTTTCATTAACTATTTTGCTGCATGTCTTTTTCTATTCTTCACCATTTTACGTAGGGATTTTTATACACATAGAAAATATTTTTGACATGTATTCAATAAAACCTAGTAACAATTTCTACCGTACACAGCTTGTGTTCATATATGTCTCACTTTGTATTTTATTGTTTTTTCTCTGCTAACAAACGAATTTTCTGAGCTCGAAACGATCATCTCAAATGAATACTCTTATGTATATTTAACTATAAAATTGAATATACGATTGTACTGATTTATTTTTCTATCTCTCTATCTCTTATTTTTTTCTCGTTTTTCTATCAATCGAATTATTTTAATCCCGGAAAGTGTGACGTAATAAAGTATCGCGTACAAATGATTTTAATTAGTCTTGCTACTTTCTGTCTGTCTGTCTGTTTGTCTCTCTCTCTCTCTCTCTGTCTCTCTCTCTCTCTCTGTCTCTCTCACTTTCACTCTCACTCTCTCTTTTAATCTTATTTCACATGTGTTATCGTAATTCGCGTGGTGAATGTTTTGTTTTAATTGCTCGAACAGATCCATGGTAGTTCAGAATATTAGCAAAATGGTGGGTGCGTGAATGTGCGCGCAAATGTACAAAAAATATGTATAAATTTAAAAAAAAAATAAATTAGAAAAAAGAAATTAAATATACAATATAAAATAAGAAGAAAATATAGAGAAAACAAACAAACCAATAAAATATAAACGTCGATACGAGAGCAAACGAAGAAACAAATTTGATACCTTATAAAAAGGAGATACGCAATAATCGATATGAGAAAAATCATAAATATTAATAGCAAAAGACTATTAAAAAAATAAATAAATAAATAAAATAAAATAAAATTGATCGATATTAAAATTATAATCCAGAAAATGCTCTCGTACGATTCTCGTAGAAGATCGTGTGTGCTTCTTAATAAGCATGTAAGCTTTGCAGCAATTAACCGATCGAGAACGGTGGGACCGACTCGATTTCTGGGCCAAGTCTAAGTCTCGGAAGCCGGACCCCGGTTGTTGCCCGGAGAACAGAGTGAGAAACAACACTCGCACAGGTTTTTGTCAGGTAGTCAGAGGAAAACCGTATTTTATGTAATATATATTTACATATATATATACTAACGTTTTTCTTTTATATTTTTTTATTTTTTTTTTTTTTTTAAATTTCTTTACCACCTCACAAGTCTCTCCCTAATTAAGTTCTCTCTCTTTCTCACGTTAATTTTTTGTTCTGATATCGGTAAAGAAAGGTCGCGATTTGAAGGTTCACAGTGATAGGCACAGCACGCAGGTGGGCTTTTATTTCCGTTGTATGTGCGAATCACGTGACCGATGATGCACCTTTGTTCCGATGACCAATTGAAAACGATCCTAACCTCAAACCCCCCTGAGCCCTATTTTTTATCGTTCAGGCCCAGCCTCACCCCATTCTGATCGAAACCCTGTTCACCACTGCCACGAATGCGACGTCACCTCTGAACTCTTACGACTCTGCTAAGCAACTACCAAAGAGGGAGACGTTTGTACAGAAATTACTTTTAAAGTAGTTAGCGAGAGCGTAGTTTATTTTCTTCGCTCTTATCCTTCTTGTTCTAGCTGTGTTGTTGTTGTTGTTGTTGTTGTTGTTATTATTGTTATTGTTGTTGTCGTTGTCTTTGTTGTTGTTCTTGTTCTTGTTCTTGTGGTTATTGTTGTGGTTGTAGTTATCTAATTTTTTAATTTTTAATCTTATTGTTGTTCTTGTTGTTCTTGTTGTTGTTCTTTGCTCTCAGCGCGACTCTTTTCTAGGGGGAATTACGAGGACGCGGGAAAGCGAATGCGAAAACAATGCGCGCAACCGAAAATGTTAAAAACGAGAAACATTAAAATGAGAATTAATAATAATAAAATAAGAATCTCAAAAAAAAAAACAATAAAATAAATAAATAAATAGAACAAAAATCCTACAGGAAATAAACAAAACAAAAAAATAATGAAATATTTAAGAATAGAAGGAATGCGAAACAGGAACGAAAAAAAAATACACAAACAAACAAACAAAAAAAACCTTAGAAACCTTGTCTTTTTACTCTCTTTTTCTCTATTTCTTGGTGGTCTTGTCTGTGTATACAGAACGCGATTCGCACCAATCTATCATTGCACAAGTGTTTTGTGCGCTATGAGGACGACTTCGGGTCATTCTGGATGGTGGACGACGCCGAGTTCGTAAAGCGGCGGCATCTGTCCCGCGGCCGCCCCAGGAAATATGACCAAAACCCATCATCCACTCCACCCCACCTCTCCGCACAGTAAGCACTACCACTTTTTAGAATTCTGCTGGCTGGCTGGCGCGACGTTCTGACCTTGACACACGGTACATTACGAACGTGCCGACCGGGACGATTTCGCTTGGTCGTTGTCTACAAAAAAAAAAAAACAAATATTTACCAAAAAAAAATATATTTTAGAAATCTGAAAAAAAAAAAAAAAGAAAATATGATCAATTAAGAACGTTAAACACACAGATTTTCTAACCTGTTACCTTTAGTATTAAAGCATTGTGTTACCGTTACCGTTACTTCTGTTTATTGGAACTGAAATTGATACATTTGTTTATATATGTAAGTTTCAATTTTGTATCTCATATAAAAATTGTGAAATTTTGTGTATGTATAATATTATTGGATACTTAACATACTCGTTTACAAATTATGATCTTTGTCAAAATTTACTATCATGATAACACTTGAAATTTATTCTTATAATTAGATTATTGATGAACAATAACAGTTGCAACGAAATGGAACCGTTCACTTAAATCACTTGGATTATTTGTTACCGTTTAATTGGATATTACATTGCACATCATGTCTATGAAATCATTATCTTATTGATTTACAAATAATCTTTTAACAAAATTTTTATTTATCAAATGAAAGAAAGGCAACGGGAAGAAAATCTGTTTCTAATCCAACTTCCTAAAAAAAAAGAGTTAAAAAAAAATGAATTCCGCATCATGCCTGCCTCAAATGCCTTTAGATTCCAAATCCTTAAAAATAAATAAATCGAACCTTAGTAAAATCCGTAATGCCTTGTTTGCGACCAGAGGTTCTTACTTTCTTATAAAACATATTTTTGTATTCTTTTATTAACCAATATAAAAAAAAAAAATTTGCAAGAACAAGTGTAAAGTAAAATATGGTAGAAATAAATTTTCGATTAATAAAAATTTGATTAGACAACCTCTGCTCGTGAGACAACAAGACAGCCCTCATAGCATATCTCCCCCTCTCTCTCTATATATATATATTGAAATCTATAGAAATGTAGTACGAAAAGCTCTAGAGCACAGCTGATAAGAGCTTTAAAGACCTGCACGAAACCTGCAGGAGAGCCCAGCCACATGACGATTGGTCAGAACTGCAGGATAATAATAAATACCCGATGTTATTTTAGTGATTGTTGCCCGCATGAATGATCCGAACGATCCCTGACGATATCGTTTAATCGAATCTTTGATATTACATCCTCCCTTTTAAAATATTCCTCCATCCCCTCGTCGTTGCCATATTCCTTAACCTAACCTTTTTTCTCCCAATAACACACTCGCTTCGATATTTCACAGCGCTTTTGTCTAGTTGTCGGCTCTTATTAAAATAGCGTTTTGCGAAAACGAAAGCGTGCGTTCGTGTGAATGAGCGTGTTGATTTGTTATTTTCTTTTATTTTTTCTCTTTCTTTCTCTCTCTCTCTCTCTCTCTCTCTCTCTCTCTCTCTCTATCTATCTATCTATCTATCTCTATATATATATATCTCTCTCTCTCTCTCTCCATCTTTCTACCCTACACTCTCCTTCTTTTATAAAAATTAATTATTTTTCTTCTACTTTTATATTCCTATTTTTACTTTATTTTTAATCGAGTCGTTTAAGCCCACCTTTTTGTGTTTTCTCTTTCGAAATAATATATTATATATAAAAAAAAAAAAAAGAAAAAACCTATTTTTATTTTTATACTTCTAATATTTAAAGTATCATCCTAATGGCGATAGAGAAATCGTTCGAAACGAGACTACGCTCGAATTTATGATATTTTCATTTTCAATCTACATTCAATTTATTTTTGTCTTTACACAAGGAGAGTGAAGAATTTATTATTTATTTTTCACATATATATACATTATAATATATGAATTATAATATTTATATCTTATATTCGTTAAGATATTTATTGAATGTATCATTTGGTTATTCCTCATTGATTTTTATCATAAAATATATCCTATGTTAAAGTACGAATGATATACTATTTGGTTCGATTGAAAATAATTGTTCTCGAAGAGCTCTAGCTAAGCGCATGCGTAAATTATTTATGTAAATCGTACGTCACTACTCTATAGTCACGGATGATACGGAATTCTCCATTCATCGCTACAACTATCTATCTTCTAACATCAGGTACCTCAAACAAACAAAAAAGGCAAAGTAATAATTATCGTATTGTCGATAACATTCATAATTCTTATTCATATTACTATAAAATATAATAGTATTTTACTAACTTTTTATCAATCTATTTTTAATCTATTTCTATATCTAACTCTAACTAACTATTTATCTATTTATCTACATATCTCTACATTTAATCTTCTCTTTCTCTAATGCTTGCTTGCTATCCATCTCTCTCACTCTCTCTCTATCTCTCTCTCTCTCTCTCTCTCTCTTTCTGTATCTATCTTTCTATCTATGTATCTATCTATCTATCTCTCTCCTAGTTTCTATAGTTCTTCCTGTCTTCCATATCTCTCTATCTCTTTTTAATACAAATTTTCTCTCTCTCTCTCTCTCTCTCTCTCTCTCTCTCTCTCTCTCTCTCTCTTTCTCTCTCTTTCTCTTGATCATTATTCAGCGCTTTTTTCTAATTACTTTATAAATGGCTCGAAGATTCTATCTTTTTTCTACAATATTTTTCTTCGCATGCCTCGAAATATTCAATTTTTCTCTCGCAAAAATACAAATACAATATGAGAAAATAAAAAATTATGTTCTATGAAGATTTGTTAGTAAATCGATTATTTATAAAGTTGTCAATTATTTGCGAGAGTTGCTTTGAGAGAAGATACTTTTTTTCGAATCGATAAAAGTATCCCTTTCGAAATTTATACACTCGACAGTATTACTCGAATATCTAAAATATCTACCGTAAGACGGATGTTCTTGGAAAGGTAAGCTCCAGGTAATTCTGAAAGCCATTTATAAGTAACGAAATCGTTTCACAAATATTCTCTGCAATAATACAAATCGTTTAAGTTTTATATTAATAAAACAAAAGAATCAATAAAGAAAAATCTAATTAAGGAATAACGAATAACGTGAAACGAGGGCGCTTTTTTTTCTTCAACTTTTTGATATACTCTTATCTAATCTCACTCGAAATCTTCCTGATCGATTGGACCGAGTGGGGCTAAAAAGACAAACAAAAATAATAAGAAAGGGTAATAGGTAAGAGTTTTAAAACTCTTTTTTTTAATCTTTCTAATAAACAAAAAAATATCAATTACTATTACTACTATACTTTTTTCTATTGTAAATAATATTATATATATATGTGTATTTTTACTATAATTCTTTTTTCAATATTTATACTTTTTTCTATCTACTTTTCTATCTCTATTGAACTTTCCCTATTTCCATTTTCTCTCTTTTTCTATCTTACCTTTTTAATACATCTTACTATTTATAATCTCATAATATCTAAACATACACACATATGCACACACTGATACAAAATTATTACATATTTTTATCTTCTAAACAAAATATATCTCTCTAACACATACATTTATACACACAATACTATAAAATACTACTCACATACATATACTTTTTTTTTCTTTTCAGGAAAAGATTATCGTTAAAACGATTCTATGAATTTCTAATGTATTTTTCTCTTTCGATATCTAGGGGCGTACCATCGAAAAGCCCAACGCTCACTCACAGTCCTACGATGTATGGTGATGCTCTAAATGCCAACCTCCAGGTAACTATCAACAATTAAGCTACTTTTCATCCTAATTTATACTCTCAATTAACAGTTTTCATCATCACTTTTCTTTTTATCCTCATCAAATAAAAAATATTTTTAAAAATACATTTATAAAGGGCTAATATAAACATTACATTACCTGTTACTTCCTCGATTAAGTATAAAAATTTGTAAATATAATAATACTGTAAAAAGAAAATAATGATTTTTCTTTTTTTTTAAATTTTGATCACAAAATCAATTATACGAATCATGCCTGCACATAGAAATAAATAAACGACATTTGTGAAAATAAATTCTAATTTTAGGCAAGACATCTTTATTGCTAACTAAACTTTGAAAACTTAAAGCATTGATTATTGCTTCTTGCAATTTCTCATAACTTGTCGACAATCACGTTCATATATTTTACTATGTTCGTATGCTTGTAACTACGTGTGTGTGTCTGTGTGTGTATGTGTTGAGTGAAAAGAATGAAACTATAAAAAAGAAAAAAAATGAAACATCAACGAAAACAGAAAAGGCATCGATGACTAACCGTCTAATGCAATTTGAGTATTTCCAGGCTGCACTCGGGGAGTCTAATATGGGATTTTTAAATAACTCGATGTGTACGTCGACAGCAACGAGCCCGGATAAGGAGCACGTTTTATCACACAATGATCTAATGTAAGTTAACTCATCTTGATCATCTATTTTTATTTTTTAAGATTAAATATTAATGTGACAAACGTCCAAAATGTCTTCCCATATTTTTACGTTTATTCCCTCTAAAAAAAATGTCTAAATAATAAATTTTAGTTAAATTAATATCTGATTATATTCTTATTCCATTAATAACACTATTATTAATATTTTCATATCAATTAAATTATTTTCATTATAAATCTTATATAATTAATCGGTAACGTCAGGCAAATTTTGATATGAATCTAAATTGGAAGGAATATTTTTGAATTATTTAAAAATAGATAAAAAATATTAGAAAAAAGGAATGATTTAGAAAATAATTTTGAGGACGTTACCAAAATATGTGGCAACATTTTTTGGAATTAAAAAATTCTTATAATAAAAATAAATTAATTATATAATTTCTAAGTTATATATTTAAATATAATGTAACCGATGATCTTGAATTTAATTTCAACAATTAAACAAAAATTATTAAACTACTTTAAGATCATTATCAAACTTATAGTATAATTAAAAAAAAATATTAAAATAATCAAAACAATTGATTCTTAAAATTGAGTCCACATATT